GAAGCGAAAAGAATGGCTCAGTAAACATTTCACTGGTAAATGCAAAACGATAGAGATAAAATATATAATGCTTTATATAGTATGATCGTCACATTACTTTCTCAACAAAAGAAGTGGCTTGGATCCAATAGTAAAACACTTCAAACTTATTTAAATTCGAAAAATTGGATGTGAATATTTTTTTAATATTCTAAGACTGGTTAAAAACTATTTTATTTTTAAAAAATATGACTATTAATTCTCTTTTTATATACCAAATGATATACAAATATTATTTATATCACATCTTCTTAACAAATCGTGTCTAGCAATTTTATTGTATTCACCTATTACTCCGTAGTCTATGGTATGAGAAAAATGCATTTGACAATGTGGGTGTGGCATTTGTCTTCTAAAGATAAATATACTCGTTCCTAACAGATTTATTTTTTTTTATGAGTACATCCTAAGGAAAAATTCGAACCGGCAACTGCTCTACACCACTTCGGCTAGTTTTTCAGCAAATACTCGTATTTTTCGCGGTAATATCAATAACAACGATCAACCTGATGATCGTCTTGATAAAAGTGATAACTTAAGTGAGACGTTGTAGTTGCTGCTGCGGATACTGATTTTAATGCTGTTGACTGACTGACAGTGATTGTTTCTATTGCATTCTCGTATGTGAGTTGATGTTAGACAGTCAGTCTACGACTGCATATCATGATCACACAGGTTTATATTATTGAAATGAAGTTGCTAATGATGATCACTATATTATAATAACAACGATGATGATTACCATTTGAAATGTTAGTTGTGCTGCATTAGTGAAAGTAGAACATATACTTCACTTTAGTCCGCATAGTCTGGCTTTTGGCTATGTGTCAACTAGTTATATAAGTGATCATATAAGCTTTAATCTTTTCATATAGGAAGTTATATTTCTGTATAAGGAGTATGTAAATATTTCAGTTTTTTATATAAACAGTTTTTTATATAAAATTTTTAATATATCTTAATTTAAAATGGAATATAATATTTTTAAATGTATGCAATTACAAACAAATATTTCTCGATTGATAAGCTTCTGATAATGTCATTCAAATGATTTTTGAAAAATGAGTGGAGGACTATATAATGAACCGTTTTGGACAAATATATGTATGGTACCACTTTCTCACTTGACTGTTTATTAAAACATATATTAATCAAATAAGAAGTTAAATGATCAATAATTTATAAAGCTCTCTAACTAATACCGATAGATCAAAGGGTTCACATTTTTTTTGAGCATCCCTTGTATTCGTCGCGTTGACGTATATTTCAACTCAAAAAGTATTTATATAACTTGGTTTTTGAAGTATTTATTCAAAATTTTTTCTTTCCTATTTCTGTTATTGGCCTGAAATTTCTATTAAAAATTAAAAATAAAGCTAAGAACATTTTCTATTATGTGGTGTTTTACATATTCGGAACAACATACAATAATTAAAACAAAATTATGTACATATCACCAAAAAATAAATCTAAATACATTCGAATTTCTCACGTATATGAAAAGTATATTGCTTATTTGATCACTTATATAACTAGTTGGCATACTTACATCTAGAAGCAGACTGAAGATAGTGCACACTAAAGTAAAGTATATGTTCTACTTTCACTAATGCAGCGCAACTAACATTTCAAATGGTGATCATCATCGTTGTTATTATAATATAGTGATCATCATTAGCAACTTCATTTCAATAATATAAACCTGTGTGATCATGATATGCAGTCGTAGACTGACTGTCTAACATCAACTCACATATGAGAATGCAATAGAAACAATCACTGTCAGTCAGTCGACAGCATTAAAATCAGTATCCGCAGCAGCAGCAACAACGTCTCACTTAAGTTATCACTTTTATCAAGACGATCATCAGGTTGATCGTTGTTATTGATATTACCGCGAAAAATACGAGTATTTGCTGAAAAACTAGCCGAAGTGGTGTAGATCAGTTGCCGGTTCGAATTTTTCCTTAGGATGTACTCATAAAAAAAAATAAATCTGTTAAGAACGAGTATATTTATCTTTAGAAGGCAAATGCCACACCCACATTGTCAAATGCATTTTTCTCATACCACAGACTACGAAATAATAGGTGAATGCAATAAAATTGCTTGACACTGTTTGTTCTGAAGATGACGTTCATAATTGCACCATATGAACTACATTATAAGTTAAACTAATTAATCAATATTGACAAAAAAAGTGTCCGCTTATAAATTTTAAGTTATATCTACTCATTGAAAACCTTTAACTTGGATCCAAACTTTTTTGTGTAGATTGTTCATAAAGAAGTACTTAAAGAACTTATTTATTGCAGCATATATCTCAGTCAAATTGGTTAAATATTAATTAAAAATATATCACTTAGTTTTTGCTTCTAATCTCAAAACCGAATTTAAAGAATGCAAAACATAGGTAATATATCAAAAAATAGTGCACGTTCTACCTTTATTTGGTGCTGTAAACTTAAATTATTATGGACTATTACTGAAGTATCTAGTAAAACACTGCTGTCCTATAATCTTTATAATAGTTGTACTTTTTAAGGTTGGATTCTAAGCGTTTTACAGTTTTTAATATCTTGATAGCAGATATATTGACGTTATATTATGATATTTGGACTTACCCTCTTGAAGTGGTTAGGTTTCTGCGACTGGACCCGGGATGATTTCAACTTTATCCTTCCTTTCCCCCTTTTTTCCCTTACCTGTACCCCAAAAATCACCGATCTACATCCAAACCCATGTATGTATGTATTTGTCTTGTAATCGTTACATCAGTAGCGATTGCTCTAAGATGCGGCGCACATCCTAACATAATTTGCAAAATACCAAATAAAATATATAGATTCATTAATATATCTTTACATCCAGAATTAATATAATTTATTACATATACATATATATATTTTTAAAGATTAAAGTTTTAGCAGAAACTGAGCTGAGCTTCTATAATTGTTAGGTGTGCTCATAAGTATGCAGCTCAAATCATAGAACATTTCTATTATATTTCGTTTTTCCCCTTTAAGCAATTACATTCACATATTTATATAGTGAGAAATATATGAGACTAATTATTCTGTTCTATTTTGTTTTATTCTTGCCGAAACGGTTAAGTGTACGCTAAAGTTCACAGCATCCACGAATTTCAGCCGTTAGGTGTGCGGTGTAGTTGGCAGCACATTAATATGTTGCAAGTGCGTTTAATTTTGTTTGATGAATGCATAAAAATGTAATTTTGAGCACAGACTCTCAAAAATTACTTTGATGTTGTGAGAAAAGTTATGTTCATTCCATATTGGCATAATATTAAAGTTATATTTATTTAAATTAATAAATTAATTTATTTCGTTAAAATGCAGAAATTTATGCATGAATAAGAAAAAAATAATATAACCAAGTTATAGAAACCCTTTGATATATAATGTTTATCTGTGTATTTAAAATTTTAATGTATAAAATGTTTGTGCAAAGTTTTTCTGCGGAAATGTTCTTTTTGTTTAATTTCGTAAGTTTTTGTTATAGCATATTTTGTCCATATATTTAGGGAAATATCACACAACGGACCCTTCTTGACTACGCTCACATGAAAGCAATTAAAAATTTTACAAACATTTTAGAGTTGCCACAACATCTTTTTTAATTTAAGTTCGCAACTTTGTGTTGCGAACAAAGAAGATAGAGAAAAGAAACCGAAAGTTACTCGAAAAATTGCGTATGATATTTGAATACGAAATATTAGGTCTGTTCCACTCGTAGTAAAACTCAAGTTAAACACATATAAAATTTACACGAAAATTTGCTGGTTTAACTAACTTGTGTAGACACAGCGCTACTGAAAGTTACTACGAGTAGCACGTAGTAACAGACCGATTATTTACTGAGCAGCGTTATATGGGCATCATTGCCCATATAATAGTTCACTTATTGCGTTGGTAACACTTTTTTTTCACTGGCCGATGTGTTTGGCCATTATAGCTATATTGGTCGAGGTGGAGAAAATGGTATTGCTGCTTTGCGTATATTTCGGCCAGTATAGCCCAGTAACTTGTTGTTTTTTGTCATACTTGCGAGCCTTCGAAAACGCCTATATTTGAAAAGTGATGCCAATTTGTTTCAAACAAACTTAATGCTGTTTTTTACAACTCTGAAAGAAAAAATTATGAGTATTGTATATGATTCTAATGCAAAATAGTTAATATCTTAAAATAACTTTCAAGTAAAAATTTGCTACTAAAACTAAATGTTGGCAACCCTATGTTAGAACTGACAATCAGCTGTTTTGCAGCAGTTGACGTAGCTCAATTTGTGTTGTGATGTGTTTCTGCTTAAGAATAAACAAATAAATAAATTTGCTCAACGAAAAAATTTAAAAATGGATTTGGAATATGAGCGGGTGTTAAAATTAATATTTCCTGATGGTGTGCCAGGTATTTATAAATATCAGTTAATTTTATGATAATAAAAATTAAAATCAAATAAAATAGAAAACTTGCGGGATAATCCGGAATTGCAGAATTATTTGTCAAAACTGGGCACATACAAAGTAGAACAATTAAAGAAAGAACAGACGCGTCTCACAGAGGAAACAAAAAACATATTGGAGGAAACGCAGGAATTGGCAATTTCTAATTACAAAACCTTCATACACACCGCAGAAAATTCACGTACCATTTTTCGTGAATTCCAAAATGCGGAGGAGCAGCTGTCTGCGATGACTGAAATATTGCCCGAATTTAGTGAGAAATGTGAGCAATTTTTGACCAATTCAGCTGAAATACATGAAAACAGACGCATAAATACGATAACACTTAAAAAAAATTCCAAATTATTGGAAATATTGGAATTACCACAGTTGATGGAACGTTGCATTCGTGAAGGTCGTTACGAAGAAGCGCTGGAGCTAGCTAGTTATGTGCAGAAAATGGGACAAAATCAAATTCATATACCAATTATAAGTGTAAGCATAAAGTATTTCATTAGTAATATTAATGTATATTTTTGAATTTTCGTAGACGATTGTTAGTTCTGTAGAAGCTTTGTGGCATACGATGTTGGTGCAACTCATAGCGCAACTGCGTACTGATTTGCAATTACCGAAGTGCCTACAAATCGTGGGTTACTTAAGACGCATGCAGGCATTTAGCAGTAATGAGTTGAAGTTAAAATTTCTGCAGGCTCGTGATGTTTGGTTGACAGCATCGTTACAGGCAATTCCAGTGGACGATGGTAAGAAGAAAAAGCTCAATTAGTGCACTGTATTTGTTAGTGGTTTGTTGGAATAGTTAAAATAAATTAAATGTTTTAAAACTATTTGTAGGTGTCACAGCAGTGACAGACGCAACGTTTTCAAAACTGAAAACGATTTTTAATATGTCGTTGGAAGTTTATATTTCAAGTTATTCATTCAAATTCAGTATTTCTGATAAGTAACACTTTAACGTTGGTTCTTAAAGTGAGTACTAGTTTCTTTTTTTTTTATAAATTTAATGAATGGTTATTTAATTTTTGAAATGACATACCCCTTATATTAAATAGAGAGTCTGCTAGAACTCCCACCAGCTAATGAGTCTATTTTCGATGAATTAATTTGCAATTAATTGCCAAATACAAATTGCTTGAAAAAACCAGGTTATCTTTATGTTTCTAATTGCATTTAGTTTATGGTCATAGATGGCGTATTCCGGAAGACGCGGTTAGATCTGTACCTTAACAAAATAATCTAAAGATAATAATATTATTTTTAATAATATTTTTCTGGCTATGCCGCTGTCGTATTACATAGAAAAAATAATTTACACAATATAATATAGAGTATTCGATTTGCATAATTTGAAAAGTTTTTATTGATATATAAAATGTATTATTAATTGCTTCAATTCATATTAAAACGCAAAAAGAAAATTACTTGTGGAGGAACTATGAATTTGTTGTAATCCCATTCCGAATGGAAAAGTAAGTCAAAGCTGTTGTTATTATTGTAGTTCGACAAGAACTATATTGCCAAAAAACTACATTGGTTAGATTGTAGATTAGGTAAGGGTAAGTGTGGGTTACAAAATCGCCCAGATTTAAGTTTCAAAGCCACATGTCAACTACGACAACCAAGCACCACTGATTACTCCCAACAGCGACTATATAACTATGCATATAAAAGATGCAGTATCTTCTTCTAGACCTAGGTTGTCAGACAACAAGGTTCTCTGCCTGAAATCTCCCCGGATGAACGTTGTCTTCCTCGTGCAGCAAGAACTATCCTTGCTCAATTGAGATCAGGATATAGCCGAGTGCTAAATAGTTACTTGTCTCGCATAAATACGTCTATCCACAATGTGTGCCCTAACTGCAGCTCTTCTCCCGATAATGTCGCCTATCTGTTTTCATGTCCTTCTGCACACACAAACCTTCGTCCAATTAACACTTGGACTCACCCCATTGAAGTGGCTAGGTTTCTTCGCCTGGATCCAGAATGACGGTCATTTACCCCCTAACTATCCATCCACTTCCCTACCCATGTATTCGTCTTGTGTTTCCTTTTACGTTTATCTGCTTACAGGTCCCGGCGGGTTACAACAACAACAACTATATGACTACAAAGATCATTTCGCTTTGATTTAAAAAGTAACCTATCGATAAAAATAAATTTAATTAGAAATGTAGGTGAAGCTGTCTGTCAGTAAATGGCTGGTAACTTTAATAAATATAGTTTGAATTTTGACTTCTATTAAAACTCCTTAATTTCTCGTTAAAAGTAGTATTTGAAAAGTTGTTAACGATTTTGTATAGTTTTGCAATATATTAATTAGACGCATTATCAAGAAATTAAACACCTTTTGTTCAGTTTGGGGAAGATTACCTTGGAGACATAAATCGATGGCGCATTTTAGTTAATTTCATTAGTTTGAATAAATTTTGTTTCAAATTAATTTCAATTAAAGCTTTGCTTTGGTTCGTGTTTTCAATGAACAGGGTATGGTCACACGTAATATAGTATCTGCACACCATTTGCCTATACCATATTAAGACCATGGTGCTATATCGCATCCTTCCCGACATGAACCTTTTTCATGTCGACGATCTAGAGAGGCTAACTCGATAAAACTCGTAATCTTCGGTGTTATTTCATCCGTGCCGATGAGATGAATGACACAATGTAAGTATTTTGGAGGTCTCTACATAACTGGCCTTATGTAGCCTATAAATATTTTGAAATTGATAAAGCTCCGTGTTGCTATTACTTTGATAAGAGAAAGAGGAGTTCATAGTCGATTTTGAGTACTGATTACTAAATGTTAGTCTTCGGCTTTTAAAAGCAGCGACTATAGTGCCGACAAAAATTTAAGGAGATATTATTTTTTTATTTAAGATTTATTAAATGTGTTCATTTCTTTTTAATTTATTGTAATTAAATTTTATTATTTTAGTTTTAAATCTAATTTTATATTTGACTTTATATGCATTTCCCTCTTTCATTTATTTTTTAGCTCATCAACATTTAATCAAAACAATTGAACTGACACGCATAAATCTTTTCAATGTAATCACACAATATTGTGCAATATTTCCTGATGAACTTGAAACAACTGCAATAGATGCAGAAAAGGCAGCAGCAGATGCAGCAGTAGTAAGTGACAGTAACTCAGCCTCAACAACAACGCCGACAAAGTTAAATAATGCTTTGTCAATTATGGAGTCCGCAGGGGATAGACTTTTTCAAGCTTGGCTGCATCGAAAGGTAGGTGAGACAATTGCGTGACCTTTAAGTATTTTGAAATTCTGAAAATAATCGATAGCAAGTCTTAAGCAAAATTAATTTATTTTTCAAATGTCTTTGGGATTTGACTAACATAAATCAAGTTTGCATTTTAAGTTATGACTGTAGAGTAGTTATACGCCGAAATACTTTTTAGTGCAAAAACTAGTTAGTTTTGAATCACAATGATGTTTTTGCATAAAGTTGAAATTAGGACATATAACTAGTATCTAGTTAGTTACTATAAAATGATTATTTACATTAAATTATCGGCTTAGAATACATGACTTGTATAAAAAAACTTGATCTTTGTTTAAGTTAAAATTAAAAAATTTCGGTTTTATGTCTTAAAAGTAATCCAAAGTTTTCGTATAGCCATCTTGAGCAGACTGTGGCTCACATTTTGAGTGCTCATTACTTTTCTAAGCCGTTACCTTTTTCTATGTTGGTCGTATACTGATCTTTGCGGTACCACGATGGGCTATTATTTGAGCACAAGTTGGCTTTTTGGAAACAAGGCCGCTACCCCATCCTTGCTAACTACTTATTTTCCTAAAATATTACTGCCAATCTGTATACGATGACTTCTCTTTCCATATCCCAATTTAATTCATAAGAGGTTTAAAAATTTGAATACTTTTCGATTATATAGTTATTTGTTTATTATTATTTTACGTATATTGCCATATAATAAAAATTAAATCGCACCGCTAGGTAGCCCTTCCTTATTAGTATGTTTCATACTGAGTATAAAAATACAGTGTGAATGCAGACTTATGACTTCTTCTGCGTGTAAGATCATATTCGCGTTTTTAAAAGAAATTTTATTGCATTCTAAGATAGTGCAAATATAGTTGTGTTGTTATCCAATTAAAACGGAAAAAGTGAGCATCATTTAGTCAACAATAATGACTAGCCACTTGGGTGTCTGCTGTTGGAACTGGAATCAAAATCATTGTTTTTGGTTTAGAAAATTACGGCTTTGATTATTGTGGAAAAGCATCTGATATACACGAAGCATTTTAACTGGTTGTTGTTGTTATAACCCGCTGGAACTTGCTTCTGAAGTTCCTTTGGGAGGTGTTGAACGGCACTTCGCTGGCGATGGGTAGCTTCGGGACGTAGACTTAGCTATTCTTGGAACTCGTTCTAACTGATATAACTATTTGATACAAGGACTGAATGTCTCGATACCATAATGCAATAAAATAGTTTAAAATTAAAGGATGTTATACGGCTCACAATAAATAATCTACTTACTAGCGATAAAAAAAGAGGTAAACTGTACAATTTGTTTTTAAAAAACAATAAATTAATAATAATTACAATTTAATTTATTTTAGATTCAAATATATGAGGATGGTGATGTTTACATTAAAAGGTGAATGAAAGTAGAAGCAAATGTTAGCTGAGATTATATAAAAGAAAATGATCCTAACAAAAGAATATGATATGATATGTTCCTGTATGAAACATAAGACCTTAATATCTCTAAAATATTACATATATAAATGAAGACTTGCTGATTTCACTTCAGTGAATTAATAAAATATACTCTGCGTATTTGAACTAAAACTTCATATAAACCTTCGACAAGACAAAAATGGCTTTATAAAATGTCGGATTTTCTGAGTATTGAATTAATTGCTTTATATTAATTGCTTTATATTATATTGATATAGGACAAAAGTGCTTTAGTATTTATTGTAAGCAGACACAAATTAAAACTAAATTAATAGTGGATATCATTTATTAATTAAAAATGGATACAATGGTAGCGGATTTGTTTAAAAGAGAAACTTGAATTATAACAAGAAAATAAAGTGTAATTGTAATTTTTGAAGTTACATATATGCAATATACAGTCAAATTTCTATAACTCGAACTCTATAACTCGAACTAAACAGAGTTCAAAAGGGTTTAGAACACAAATTACATACAATTACAAAAAAAAATTTTAACTTGAAGTCTCCAGAAGTCGTACCTTTTCTTTGCAAAATGGTACTTCGATTTATGGAAGTTGGACTGTATATGGAGTTCGGCATAGTAATAATAAAGTATATAAATGCAAACTCATATATCTAATGAGTTCAAGAATTCGTAATACAAGTGTAGAACAAATTTTCATGTATGATTTAAAAACGAGAACGGATGCTGTGATTGCACATCAAGTAGTCAAAACGAGCAACCCCAACACGATGTTGCAGGCATTAGGATTAAATCCACACTGTAGCTGCCGACTGTAAGTGAGAAGTGATACAGTAATACGACATAAGTCAAAATATCAATTACAAGACATAGCGTCAGATAGTTTTTGAATAGAAGCGATCGATCTAGAATTGAAGAAACAGGTTTCTTCTGAAGCGTCTTTTGCTGAAAAAAAAATTAATATAAAGCAAAAAATGTAAAGATCTTATGCTGTTTAAGGAGAAGGATCCCAGATATGAACACTAGCTTAACCACTGTTAAGTATATAAACTCTATTCGAAAATATATGTAAAACATATAAAATATATGTAATATGTGAAACGGATTATATTACTAAACGAATAAGAAAAATATGAAAAGGGTAAGGGAATGTTGCCAGTAGGATGTGTCATTATTAACTTCCTAGTGCAATAATGAATAGTATAATTATTGCTGTAAGCGATTGCAGCGACCTACCTTGAGGACAATATGAACCTTAATTATCGTCGTTCAGAGAATACCATTTGAGTTTGAATAAGTTTAAAATGTCTAAATATACGATGTACTGGAACTCATTCTGCCGTTTCACGATATTTGTTCAAAAATCGACGCACTAAGCTTTCATTAAAATGGATTTGAGCTGCTATTTCGCGTACGGATACATTTTGTTCCACTAGTGCTATAATTGTTGCTTTTTCCTTAACAGTCATTTAGGCTGACTTTTTAATTTGTCTCCTATAAAAAATTCTTTATGATGTGATTGTAGGAACTCGATTTTTGTTTTATACCTTCTGCTCAAAAAGTATCCGGAATTTGTTGTTTGTTAACTACTCCTTAAGTAATAGACCTTTTTCAAAAAATTTTTGGTTATCTTAATACACCCTTTCTTGACATATGGTACAAATTTGAGCGTTATCTGTCAAATAGTTTATTTACAGCAGCTGTTAATGTGAGACTACCTCAAGTGCATTTAGCGATTTTTACTATGGATTTTTACCACTGTCATCGCTCAGGCGAAATAAAATAAATTTGGAATAAAATTTAAATTTGTGTGTTTTATTTACAAAGTCCGAGTACTTTTTGAGCAGAAGGTATACCATAAGTTATTATATAAAAATATAAATTTTTTAAAAAACACAACCTAAAGCCCGCTAAAATTTAAATACCATTAAAATTAACGC